TGAATATATACATATATATTATTATGGCAAAAGCGTGCAGGAGCGAGAAGGCGATAGTGATAACAAATATTCTTATTAGAATTTTTTGTCACTTTGTATATACACAACTGGGCGCACGCACACATGCACACASACACGCGCTGACAGCGACGCAGCAGCAGCACCAACTCACATGAACGTAACACCTTAGCTTAATTTAATTATTGCTCTCCTGGCTCTCGCGTACACATAGCCAGACACTAAGGCACACACACACATGCACACTTTTTTACTTTTAATACGAGTGTCGCGCACTCACTCACACATACACATGACAAATGCATTAGCATTCATTACAATTCCACGGCGCATACAATTTTCATTGCACTTGCCTTGGCTGTGGGCACTGGCGCTCTCTCTTGCCTTGTTGCGATTGCACTGCTACGCCTACAGATCGCACTTTTTGCTTAACACACGCACTTTGTTAATAAACACATATTGATTGCTTGCATTTGCACACATTGCAATTGTTTTTCGGCTGCTGCTTTCAATTTCAGCATTATTTCATTCGTCCAAAACTCCGACGTCGTCTCAGCGTCGTTCCCAGTGTGACCAGCGCCGGCAAATGGCAAAAATGCTAAGCAGCGGTTTTTTGGGCTACACTTTATAAACACTATATGCTATCGATATATGTATATGTTAGTTTTCAAATAAACATTGTGAAAACAATCGATATAATTTTGAAAATTTGACAATTTTTATTTAGCACAATTTAAAATTGGCAACAACTTTTTACTTATTGACTAAGAGAAGAACAGAGAAAAAAAAAACACACGGTGACTGCTATAAATGCAAGACTGATTTGAGAGTGACAGTTCCATTTTAGGGCATCATGCGCAAGGCACCGTCCAGGCGGATGACCTCGCCGTTGAGCAACGGATTCTCGTAGATAGCCTGAACCAGCTGGGCGTACTCGCTGGGATCGCCCAGACGCTGCGGAAACGGTATTGACTTGGCCAGGAACGTGCGCACCTTCTCCGGCAGCGCAGCCAGCATCGGGGTGTTGAAGAGACCCGGGGCAATCGTGCAAATGCGAATTCCCTGGGTGCTCAGGTCGCGGGCAATGGGCAAGGTCATGCCCACAACGGCCGCCTTCGAGGCCGAGTAGGCTGCCTGGCCAATCTGCCCATCAAAGGCAGCCACCGAGGCGGTGTTCACAATGACGCCGCGTTGGCCATCTTGGTTGGGTGCATTGGCGCCCATTAGGCCGGCGGACAGGCGAATCACATTGAAGGTGCCCACCGTGTTGATGTTGATCACCCGCTGGAAGTCCTCCAGGCGATGAGCCACGTTCTTATTGAAGTTGTAGGTCTTCACGGCGGTTGCGGTGCCCGCACAGTTGACCGTTAAATCGAGACGCCCGAACTTGTCCTTGGCCGTTTGGAGAGCGGCGCTCACGTCCTGCTCGGAGGTGACATCGACGGGCACAAAGACCACCTTGTCGCCCAGCTCCTTCGCCACCTCAGTTCCCTTGGAGGAAGGCAGATCGGCGAGCACAACACTGGCGCCCTGCTTGGCCAGACGCTCGGCTGTGGCCCTGCCCAGGCCAGAGGCGCCACCAGTCACCAGGGAAACAACGTTCTACAAGTGATATTAATAATTTGCATTAAATTTGGCAGATAATGGAATCTTTTTTAATTATTTTTAATCATTGTGTAACGATAAGGCGTCGAATCAGATCTTTAGGTACAAGGTACACTGTACACGGCACACATACATACAGTTATTCTTAGCAGACAATGATTGTCCCAATTGGACTTTGTACTCAATTGCTAGAGTTCAAATCAAATCTGGTAAAGGCTGGACGATTTGTTTAGTGCTTCCCTTCTTTTATTGTTTTTTGTTTTTGCACATACTATGAGCTTACCTTGATCATGTTTAATGAATTTGTGAAAAATTTAAATCAATTGGTTAGACAACTGCAGAGTAATCTGGAAGACTGGCTGACGACTGCGGCTCTATTGGAAAAACACCGGTTGCTGCTTTGACAAGCTCCAGGGCTGGACTATAATACAATCTATACATCGCTCAGGAAGCTCATCGATAGTTGAGCGAACAAGTACCAAATCATTCAAATAATTGACAGTTCACAGACAATCGACTACAGATAATTGTCTATTAAAATATTAGAAAAATTGTTGAAATATATATAGTAATACAAAATGAAGGAAGAGTCAATAAAAAACAAGCGCACCGTAGAAGTATAAATATTTTTGTAGCCTATAGTATTAAGCTATCGATTAATTTTGATAGACTAGGATAGTAAGAAATCAGCTGTTTTCATTGTTTTTATTTTTATTTAGTTTCGCTGTTCTTAAATAAAACGTACGGTTAGCTTGTGACGTGCTTTTAGGCTGCCGGGCGAGCTATGGAACAAGGAAATCCGAAAAATAGAATTCACAAAACAATTGATTGCGACGCCCAAGACAAAATCATCTTAGGTCTACGTCAGCAGCAAAGTAAGTACTCCCTGGATATTCATAAATAATTATATATAAGAACCATTGTTTGTTTGTCCTACTCCCTGGCAGAAAACTTGAATCAGCCTGCCCAGGAGAGGCTGAAACGTCTGCAATCGAGCTTAAAGCAATTGAGAGACCGAAAAGTTGACAAAGAACGAGGCGTGGCCAAGAGACTCACCAGAAGCAGCAGTAACAACGTCCGCAGCAATTCGGACAGCCCAAGCGCCACTGCCACACATCACACAATATGCAAAGTCCAGACCCCACTCAATGTGACAAAACAGCAACTGCCAAATCGTAGATGGAATCCGAGATCACGCACTCCCGTCACAAATGCCTGGGCAAAGCCCAAGGCGCTGCTTGATGCTAGCAATAGACTGGAAAATAGCCGATCCACAAGTGGTATTTATTGAGATTATGTAGGCGTGCATTTGTTAATAAGTCTTGCAATCCCCAGCCAACCAACGCCTTTCAATACTGCGCGAGACTCTGCAACAGCAGCAAAGGGAGGCGAACAATAATTACAATAAAAACACAGACAGCAACCAACTGCCAATTGTAACTGTCACAACTACTGTTAGGGCGACCGCTTTATCAAGTCCCAAGGGCGATGTGGAGCCCATGGACTTAGACTTCACGGAAGAGGAGAGGCGAGAGGAAAAGGAAGAGCAGCAGGACAGCAGCTGTACAGTAGTACGTATTGTGATGTTATGTTGTGATGTTATGTTTTGACGATTAGGACTGTAAAAGTAGTTTATAGCAAAGTTAACGGTTAATCTACAGTGGACTGTTTTTCGGGAATCAGGGAGCTCCCATGGACCATTGAGCTGTGTGCTTTAAACAAACTAACAGAACTGACTTTTGGGTAGCCTAAACAGTACTTTAACATGCAACATCAATTGCAAGTGCCGTATGGTGTAACCAAGAAGGATATGGTCAACCTTCTTAGGGAATATAATGTGGACGTGCCACCGCGGGCTACATTATTCAAAGTGATTCGACTCTTTGTCAAACTACTAAAATCGACTGCCAGTGCTGTAAGTACTGACGCCCCTGCTTTTGTGGCTGTCGCCACATGAAAGAGAAGAGTCACAGATTCCAATGGAGACCCCTGTTTGTCGAGACTCACTCAAGCAACTAGCTGCCAACTTTATGAGAATGTATGCAATCGTCTTATATAGAGCTTCTTTTCTTGTTCATACGTTTCGCACGGACGATTACGAAGAGCTAAAGGTTAATTTGGAAGATCGTCGATATAAATCTGGTAAAGGCTTCCGTTATTACAAGAACATAAAGAATCGTTGAATGATGGGAATATGTACTTTGCAGATCTCCTAGTCGAGCAGTCTCGACTTGACCACATAGCTTTATATATCTTTATAGAAATGAGTATATTGGTTTTCCATAATATCCACCTGAAAAAATTGAAATTAGGAATATACATACATTAATTACGATCATCTAATAATGCTGAGACATGACTTAACAATGATGAGTAAAATTTCATAGCTATTATCGATCGATGCCTCTAGCTAAATTCGTTCAACTTTATCCTGTCACGAATACTAGTTCTTGGGAAGCACGATCCCACTGAATCATTCACGATTCAGGTACGGGTTTCACCTCTGTCGTACCAATAGGCTGATAGATGCCCAGTCAATATTGCATTTTAGGTAAATTATGCATGCTGAGTAAATTGGCTGAACCAGTAAACCATACCGATTGGCTAAAACACATTCCGGAATTCGAGTTTACCCTGACCAAGTCTGTCCACTTCACAACTGAGTTAGCAATCTCCAAGGAGGTTCGATAGATGAATGTTTGGACTGTTTGGTCGGTGGATATCAACTTGTCTGCATCCAATGTTCATGTGATTGCCTAGCCTAAACAAAGTGAAATCTTTTACCGAGTAAAGCATATAACTAATTCGGCCATACCACAGTACATGTCATTCATAAGAAACATCCGAAAGATCGATATGTAGTACGGGATGTGGAAGGCGCTCAGATCCATTCCCTATGCAAATTGTCTATTGATTAGGAATGCAGTGTAAGAATTTATGATAAGAAAATATCCAAGTGGATTTCACGGAGATATTGGACATTGTGCTATAATCGTATTCCTGCCAGTTTTAGATCCAATACAATTTAATTGATGCCTCCTCTTCCAGCTAAGTGTGAATAAAAGGCGGAGCCAGCCGGAAAATACATCGGATCTAACGCTACAAAGACTATTGGGTACCAGACAAGAGCTGCCCGCGCGCTGTGTGGACTACCTGTACTTTGTGCTGGATACGAATGTGCTAATGGAAAACCTTGAGTTTGTGGAGGATCTGTGCCGCGTGACACTGGGCGAGACAAAGGGCAGCATGCTGTATATACCATATATAGTGATCAAGGAGCTGGACAAGCTCAAGGAGAGACACAGCGATAACGATCGCAAGCGCAAACCGGCCATACGAGCGATCCACTATCTGAACAAGAAATTTGACGAGACTCTCAAAATTCAAGGTCTGTAAATGTGATTCCATTATGAGAGTTTCGATCGATGTTGAATTACATATGTAATTGATGCAGCTCAATCTGCGCTGGAGGAAGCCAACCATTTGATCGAGGTGGACTGCCCGGATGACAGCATTGTGAACTGCTGCCTGCAGCTGCAGTCGCAGGTGCCGCATCTGATGCTGCTGACCAACGACAACAATTTGCGCCTCAAGGCCAACGCCTCAGCTATACAAGTGTCCTGCCGTTCCGATTTGCTCCACGACTATCCATATCAGTTCGAAGCATTGTCCCCATCATCCTAGCCCAAGAGCGTGGAGGACACTAGTCGAGGAATGCGTTTGTGATGGACGTGTGGACCGAGCCACTGCACCGCTGACAACACGAAGTACAACTTATACATACATATATGTATATATATATATATATCAAACATTCACGTGTCAATAGTCATACATATAGATATTCAGATTGGGCTTAAAATAGACATCACAGATTTATATGCAATAAACCTTGTACACTAATCAACTGTTTGCCTTTCGAGTGTGAGCTGATAAAGCACTTGAGAGTGAGAGAGATGCCTTAACGAATGCTCCTAAGTTCCTTCTGATTCCGCTTTAAATGATTCTGTTACTCTTGGGGGAACAGAGAACAGTTGATCGAAATGTCCAGCAGAGTTGGCCATATATTATATAAAAGTCATGTATGTTATGGCGTTGCCGCTGTGCGTAGAATCAATGGGGTCCAATAGACGCTTGCCCGATCGGTGAGCAGATAAGCTCGCAGCCATATATCAAGTGACATCGACTTATCTAAGCGCAAGATAGGAGCAGATAGGGGCTATCTGAGCAGCGTATTTGGCTGTCGGTGTCAGAGTCGGCCGTTATAGATAGATAATTTATGTATTTTCCGTGTTTAATTTTAATTAGGCGAAAACTCCAGGCGTCTTATCAACGGGCAAATAAATGTGGATCCGCCGGGCTCGGCCCCGCCAGCTGCAGCTGCCAAGTTGCCAAGCCGGGCGACTTGCGACGTTTTTAAAGCGCATCGAACGCTTGTGCCGTGCGGGTGGTGTCGAATGTGGTGTGCCGCTAAAGAGCCTAGAAGAACGGGAAACGAAAGACGGGAAAATAGAGATCCGGAATAACACTGACGTATGCGGATGCGCACTTTGGGTGACAGCGACAATTGTTTATTGCCTGACACAATTAACTTAAGCTATATAAAAATTGTATGTACGAACTATATATATATAATGTGTATGTATATATATGTGTGTATGAGTGTGTGTGCATGTGTATTGTGTATTGTTTATATATATATATGTGTGTGTGTGTGTGTCTGTGTTTGGTTTGCTAATTTACAAACTGGCGAGTTAAGCAGCGACGAAATTTGATTAGATCCTCTCGACATTCACGTTTGTTCTGTTGCCCGGTTTTCCGATACTCCGGTATTTCGATTTTCCGGTTGCCCGCGTTGCCCTCGATCCTTCTTTATACACATTGCAATTGGAAGCTAATATCGCTCCAAATGCTATGACGTTCCCACTGCTGCAGCAGCATTGCCGCCCGATGCAGCGCCATTAACTGACGCCAGCTCCAGGCCAAGCTCCTGTCCTACAACTTGCCATCGCCGACCCCGCTCATCAGCTGCATGCGCTCCAGCTGCTCGGCCAAAGCCCGCTGCTCGCTGGTTAGCCGGAGTATTTCCTGTTTCTCCTCGTTCGTGTGGACCTTGCGCTTGGCCCGGTACTGCTGCATTCGCTTGTAGCACTCGAGGATCTCCTGATCGATGCAGTCCAGTTTGCGCTTTAGTTCGATGCGCTTGATCTCCTCGCTGGCACCGGCGCGCAGTCGCTGCAGTTCGTCGCTATTGAACTGAGCCACCGTGTTGATCTCGGCGGTGACCCGCTTGATTTCGAGCAGCACCTCATCCACATCCTCGTGGGCGCCCAGCTCATTCGCGTCGATCAGTCCGCTGTCCATCAGCTCCTTTTTCAGCCGCTGCTCAATGCCAACGCCGTGCTTGAGCATGGCCAGGGAGCGGAAATTGCCAGAGGCGGCCGCCGCATTGCTCGTGGATGAGGAATGGGTGTTCTCGTTGCTGCTACTGTTGCTGTGCTCCCCCACCGCCGCCTGCTCGCTGGGCAGTGACTCGTCCATCAGCGCCGAAACGAGTCTCTGGGTCAATGGGCCCGTTATGCCCTCCTCCAGCATGCCCTCGGCCTTCTTCAGCATGGCCGTCGCATTCTGTGACTTTTGGCGCGCCCCTCCCGGCTGCAAGGCCTTCATGTCCTCCTGTGCCCACACCGTGGAGTAGTGTGGCCCCAGCGGCGGCACCGGCGGCACCAACGGACCCCGATACTGCTCCAGCAGATCGTCAATCAGTCGCAGATCTTCGTTGGTCAGTGGCATGCAATAAGGCTCAACGGATAGCCAAAACTTATTCGGCATGTCGTTTTTAGGCATCGCCACCTTTGGTAGAATCTGTTGTTGCTGTTGCGCCTGCTGCTGTTGATGGCTGATGGCGGGCATAGTCGGAATGTAGTCCATGCTGTCGTCCGTGTGCGTGGCCAGGGGACTGTTCTTGGCCATGTGCTTGGAGCCCGCCATCTGCTGCTGCTTGAGTATCGTCATGGAGGATTGTTTTTTGCGCACACCCGTCGGCTCGTCCCGCAGTTTTCTCTTCGTGCTGCTGTTGGCCGTTGCTGTCGCTGGGCTGCCGACGCCGCTGCTGCTGCCTCCGCCACTGTTGCTGCCCAATCCCAGCAGGCCGTTGAGCATGCCCAGCGTTGTGGGCGGTGAGCCGGGCGGCGCGCGTTCCAATTTCCGACGATCCTGACGCTTCTCGTCCTTATCCAGGCTATCGTATTCCGCTTTTAGTACGCGCGTACGCAAGGCCACATTTGACAGCATCAGCTCCAGCTCCAACTGCACCGCATCTAGGTCTTCGGCAGCCAAGTGCTCGTCCGCTGGCCGCTGCAGCGCGGCAGCAATCGTTGGCAGCTGCTTCGGCACATCTCTGCTGCGTATTAGAGGTATTACCGTACCACTCGGCGTCACAAAGATGTCCGTATCAGCCACCACATGGGACGCTGACTTGCTGCTGCCAGCGCCCGCACCTCCTCCGCCTCCACCCACACCCCCACTTCCACTGATTCCACAGCCTGCGCCGCTATTGCCGTTGGTGTTATTGTTTGCAAGCAACTTGCCAGCTGAGATGCCAAAGCCAGCAGTGCCGAAGTGGCTCATCTTCAGATTCTTGAGGTTCGCACTCATTTCGAGCGGCTCAGAGCTGCGCAGTTTCACGTGTGTTGTGCTTGCGAAATTCGCTGCAATTTATTTGCGTATAAAAAAGCTGAGAGGCACTCGCGAGCTAGCGTCGCTTGCGATATCCAAGAACTAACGCAAGAAGTGGCCAAAGAATCGATAACCGCGAATGCAGAGTATCGCTGCATAAATACCGATACCCGCGACTTGCTCAGAAACATGATTTAAATCAAGCATTTAACATATATACATATAAATATTTAGATTGATATCTATTTTATTTTTTTTATATTCATTTTGCACTTAGCTGTTGAGCATCCGTACCAGTGTTATCATAATTATGAAAAGTGTACTTATCGATAGTCGGCGAGTGACGAGCGCGCATTATTAATTTTCCGATTAGCATAGTGTAGCGATAGCGCCCTGGTACTTTGTTTCGTTTGCTTTTTGTTCTTTGTTGTTCCGTGCGCGCTATTCTGTGATAAAGTGTACTTAACCAATTCTTTAATGTTATTTTAATTAGTAATGATTAGATCTTGTCCTAAATGCACGCCAGCTAATATATGCAAATAACGAGCAACTTCTGCTGCCTCTATTAAGCCGAAATAATAATAATAATAATATTAACAGCACAGAAGTGAGAGGGGCAGCACCAGCAGCAGCAACAGCAGTAGCAGCAGCGCTGCAGGCATCAGCAGCCAGCCAACGTTTGTATGTCAACAGTGGCCCCGTGGTGCATTCTACATATGTACAAATATATGTGTGTAATATTTATGTAATTGAAAAACAATGTTGTCAAAGCTAATCTCGTGATGCGCTCTCCGTTAATTGATCGAGCAGTTTTTACTGACTCAATCACGCAAAACGCAGACGCAGTTGCCTTACACCAGCATCAACAGCCTCGGCGCTTTCATCATCATCAATAACAACAACAACAACAACAACAACAGCAGCGGCAGCAGCAGCAACGGGACTTATCAGCACTCTGCGACGCAGGCGCTGTCTTTCGGGCAGCGCTAACTGCCGTCCGCTGCTTTCATTTCCAGAATTGCAGCTGTGAGTCAGACAGAGGCGCGCGCTGTGCATTTCTTTTGACTTTATTGATCAAATATTTGCGTGCATGTAGTTGCATACGTGAGTGTGTATGTGTCTGTTTCTGTGAGTGTGTGTGCATGTGTTGGCTGCTCCCTTATCAGCGCGTATAATTAGGCTAGCAGACAAAATCCGTGTGCAGAGCAAACGCAAAGTGATAAGGAAAGAACAAAAAATTAAATTTAAAAAAAAAAAAAAAAAAAACAAAATGAAAAGAGCAAGCAACAAGTGTTTAACACGTTTGCTTTGCTGTTGTTGTAAATATCGTTTCAATTATTGATGCTTGTGCGATATGGCCTAATCCATCAGACTGGACACGCTGAAATCTATATTTGGAATTAAATTTTGATGTTAACTAAGTGCACGCACGCAATTGACATATCGACAGACAATCAATTAACGCCCACAGGTGTTTACATGTATGTTTAAATGTACCTATATATATACAGATATGCCCATGTACGGATAATATATACTATGTATGTATGTATATATGTCGATAGTGTGTGTCCGTGTTTGTCCTATTGTAAAGCGGAAATTGTTGCTCCACTAGACTTTGGCTTTAAGCCCAACAGCTGCTGTAACGGCTTTTGTTGTTGTTGTTGTTGCTTTGTAGCAAATATTTGCCCAATTAATTGATTAAACATGTTAACGTCTTTGCTTGCACAGCGTAGCGACAAAATTTTTCCAATTTGTTTAGCTTATTATTCGGTCGGCGCTAATGAAAGTAAACAAGCATAAAAAATCTTTATATGCATACATATGTACTTTGTATACATGATAAAACAGTTACCAGGGAGATGACAACAAATTGTTGCTCCGCTCTCAGAATCTCTAATATTATATTTAGTAATATAGTACAAAAAGAGAAAGAAAAAATGCTTACACCCTATAGATCTTTAGAACTTAAAGTGGTTTTACCTAAATGATATTATCTATTATATTGCGTTCAATTTGTTAGTTTATAATAGCGCGAAATCAGATGCATCCTAACATGATTAAATATATACTTTTTCATGTGACCAAATATAATATTTAAATGCATTTAATTTTTATATTTGATTAAATTTAGATTTTT